CAAGGCTTTTTACCTAAAGGGACTTAGTGCGAGTTCTCTGCAAGTAAACACGATAGTTCTTTGGAACAGTCTGATTCACATAATCCTTTTCTCCTCCTGATGGTACTATTATGTGGCAAGGCTTTAAACATTTGCTAACCATCTGGGCCACAGGGAAAATGTGATGAAAAGGACAAATTCAAACACAAAAACAACCCAGGACCAGTGATTGTTCCCACCTACATTTCCCCATCCTTTGCTGCATCATGACCACATGTTTCCAGAAGCAGAAGCCTCCCAGATGTCTCTGTGGCTGTAAGGTGCACAGGGTCTCTGCCAGGTAGGATGTGAATTCACAGATCAGTAGACCCATGCTTAATTTGCCACTACATGTAGATGCCCAAGGGGAGGGCAGTTTCCTAGGAAATCTCCTGGTTAAATTCAAACAGTGAATGTTACCAATAGATATGTAAGAAATACTGATTGATGAAAGAAGGACCATCTCACAGCAGGTCATTGCTAGTATCCCAGTGCTATGCTCTGTCCTGACTAAATAACAACAACAATGAGGAGGAAGACATCCAGGTGCTCTTCTATAGCACTTTTGTTGTGTAATATAAATAGGTAGATCAGGAGGTCATCCTATGGTTCAGGTCACTTTGTATGTACAAAGTAACTAAATCTCCCATAACCCTTTAAGAAATGTTCAGAGATTTTTTTTAATCTATCACTGACATGCAGCCACCCCTGAGGTGATTGCTTGAAAGTACAAAACAAAACTGCAGAACAATATAAGGGAGGACACAAAGGTTGAGTGGAACCGGCAAGAGACACTGGGGAGGGGCGATCACTCCAGTTGCATCCACACTTCTTTTTCAGCCATTGGTAGAAGCAATTGGGATCAATGACATCAGTTACACTTTAAACCAAGAGCTTGCTTGTTCACTTCTGCAAAGAAATGTTTCCTAGATAAGTACTCGGGTTGAAAAGGAATGTGCTTCCTCTGAACAGTCAGGTTAATAGTATCCTGTGCATGATCAATAGGTAAGATTTTCTTCCCACAAGCTTCTATCTCTAGAATGAGTTCGAGAATTACTTCATGTTTAAACTGCTTGCCCAAAAATCTACCTGTTAGGGCAAAAAAAATGAACTACCAATACAGGGGCACCAAAGCCTCATGACTCTTCCCCCTTCACAATTGATAAGAGCAGTAATTTTTTTCTGAATTCTCCTTAGCAGTCTCAGTACTGTAAAACGGCCATCCCTGCCCACCACTTGATAGCACTGAACTCCTGAATCATGAGAAGAGACTGCTCTGTTATCACCACTGGATGCTATTTTGCAAGCTTTACAAAGTCAAGAGACCACTTTCATTACTGCTGTAACTTCTCTGCTGGTGTCTCAGCTGACATACACTAAGGCTCTGTCTACACATGTAAGTAAAGGCACAAATGGATCTAATGTGTGATCCACACTATTGTGCCTCCTGCCATGTTACAAGTGCATGGCAGGAGGCATGATTGTGGCATGGCACATTAGATCCAATTGCGATATTGCTCAGTCCAGGGCTTTCCCTGCATTGACAAGAAGCAAGCTCCCACAGCTGGGAGCCCTCTTTGCTGAGGGGGGCTTCTAGCCGTGGGGTCCACACCAGCCAGGGCCAAGAGACCCCGTGGCTGACAGAGCTTCTGGTCCCAGCTGGTCCTCACACAACTGGGACCGAGAGTCCCAAAACTGATGGGGATCTGGCTCCAGCTACACCTCACGTGAGGCACAGCTGAGACTGGAAGCCCCCTCAGTTGCAGGCCTCTTGGTGCTGGCTGCAAGTGAGGAACTGGACCGACAGCCTGGTGTGGCCTGGTGGTTTCACACACCTCACCCCCCAGCCTTGGGCATCACAGCAGCTTCCATCTCCTGGGCTTGGATTTTTACACTGGGCAAGGTGTATCCCAATGGCTGGGATCCTTGTCAGGTGAAGGGGCTCCTGGCCATAGGGGAGACCTTGCTACATGTGCAAATTAAAACTCAATAGCAACCAGCTATAAAGTTAGTACATATTTCAAGGTCTAACTTTATAGCTGGTTGGAGCCTTTTATTGTGTGGTAGCTAGTTTGTATGTGTAGCTGGTCTTATGGTAAATGTGCCATTAACCAGTTAATTGTGCAATACCTGTAATGTGTAGAGGGGACCTACAATACATTGGTCTACTCCTGGGGTGGGGGGATTTGTATGGAGAATTCACCATTTGCTGCCAGGACTGTGCCATTTACCTCCTAGAGAACAGAAACAACGGACAGTCCTTAATCTTTGATCCCATTCACCTGAAAGCATCTTAGAGCAATGGCATGACTAAAGCCTAGAAAAAGCAGTCTGACCAAGCTTGTTGGAAAGGGCTTCAGCTTGGAGAGTGGAATATCCCCAAACAGGAGAACAAAAACATTGGGCATTAACACTTGGTCTTAAAATCCAGAGCCTGAGCTGCTCAGGGAATAGTCAGAGACAGAGGAGGTTTTGGGCAAGAGAGAGGAACAAAAAGGGGTAAACTTTTGTAGCTTGCGGGATCTCTTTCTTACTGAGTGACCAGCCAAGATCAAAAGACGCTGACCTGGAGGCTCGTAGGAGGGAAACTTCTGACTGTGACTCCATGATTTGCATGAGAAGCTATGACCTGGGTAAAGAGGATCCTGGGCTCTTTGAAGGACTCTAAAGAGAATGCTGCAGAGTAGTGGTGAGGAACCTGGCACAGGGAGACATGGAAAATTTCATTTTATTTTGTCTGGATCCATGTGTTGTTTGTAATATCTAATGTTATTGTATTTAGACATGTTTGTAAAGCTGCTTCTTCTATTTGCTCTCTCTGTTCTGTGTCCCTGAAGAAGTAGATTTAAACCCAAAGTTTCCATTAGATAGAGCTCTGGAAAGGAAGTGTGTGTTGGGTTGGGAGGGGGTCAGCAGTGCCGGTCCTGAAATCTGTTGTAGGAGTACCAGACACAGGGCTTGTCCATCCCAGGGGGTTATGTCCTGGGGAGTGTGGGGCTCAGCTTGCTGTACCCTATGTAAGTCTGCTGACGTGCTCTAGAGCCACAGGGTTGTCCTGGACTCATCCCTAGGACCCACTAGGCACGTCTACATGAGATGCTACTGCACAGTGGTTACTGCTCATTTATTTAGTACACACATCCACACCCTCCCACACTCCCACCCCAACCACATACCCTGCACCCACACCCCCTCCACACCCATCTCCCACCCACCATACCCACTTCCCACACACAACACCCCCATACCTGACCATACACTATAAGACTGTATTTTGAGCTGTTATGCAATCACCTCTAGATACACTATGCAAACACACATAAATCAAGACAAAAATATTTTTGTAATAAAATAAATTATAGTAGATGCTAGATTTTTTTTAGTATATGATTTGTTGTTTTTTTTTCTGGTTTCAAGATGGCAACCCCCGCCCTCCCAAAACAAGTTCTTCTGGAGCAAGGGGCAGGACTTCTGGTCCCAAGATGGTAGGAAAGGGGCAGGGCACCTATCAAGGGGCAAGGCTACCTTTGCAGCCCTCAACAGCTCACCAAAACTCATTAAGTGGCCCTTCAGCAGAAATAATTGCCCACCCCAGCTTAAGATCTTTTCTCAATTGATCAAAAGTATTTAAGCCATTTATCTATATGCTTATTTATTGAAGACATGAAATATTATATATATATGCACATATCATCCTGTGCAGCGTGACATTCTAATGTTTTCTAAAATGATTAGTTTTTTACATTATTCATCTCTAAACTGTGGCTGTTCATCATGGGAGTTGTTATTCAATTGATTTGACAGCTCACCTTTTCAATGAGAGAACATGTAGAGTGAAATAGGAGTACAAGACTGCACTAAAGTCTATAGCAGAACCCTCCTGATTTCACCCGTTGTTTAGAAAAGCTTGACAGAAGAGAAGCAGCTTCAATTTCCCTCTCCTGTCTTCTAGAAAAATATTTGATACTGCTTTTATGACACCACATGGTGGGCAATCTTCTACGTTTATTTAGTTAACTTTTGGAAATTACCTTTGCTGTTAAAAATGTGTACCATTTCTGGTTTCAGCTTCTAGAGACTCCTACACCCTTGTTAGACCTTTGCATAGCAGACTAACAAACGTTTTACTCTGGTTATCTTCTGCCGTTTACTATAAGCAAGTTGCCTCTCTGCGTAGTGTAATCTGTGATTGATCCTAAAGCATGAGGCATGTTCTCCAAACTTTATGTCATTCACAGCTCTTTTCTGGATCTTCCAAAACTCTTTCCAACTATGTGGTTTGTTGTTTCATTTGGTGTCCCTGCTTAAAAACAAAGTGTTGTATATAGAGGCAATACTATCTCTAGTAGACTTGCTTGATATTCCCCTGATAATACCAGAGTTTGAATTACACTCTGACTCTTGGTAGGATCTGCAGCAGTGGCAGCTGGAAGAGGGAAGGAGCCCCTGCTGCCGCCGCCACGGCCTGAGCTGCTGAGAAAGATGCAGGCTGGGTCAGGAGCTCTCATCTCCTATGGGGGGCTCTTGGCTCTTATGTGGGGGCTTGTGGGGAGCTCAGTTCCCCATGAGCCTCCACCCATATTTCAACCCCTGGATAATACACATATGAGGATTGCTGCACCAGTTAGTGCAGATATGGCACTGAGAGTCAGTAGCAAAACTGGAGGGTAAGGCAAGAGTGGGGAAGCAGAGCTGCCCTACTGTGCCTCTGCCTAGAATCCCCTTCAGTGTAGGGTGAGCATATGTCCTATTTTAGTTGGGACAGTCTCGGATTTTAGACGCTGGTCCCAGCCAGCTGCTGGGAATTATAATGGGTGTCCTAGAAAGACAAGGGCACAGGGCACAGTCTGGTCAGGAGCTGGAGCAGTGCAGAGTGCCTTGCAGGTGGGCAGGCAGGCACTGCTGCCTGCTTGACATACCAACCCGACTGCGCTAACTTGTGACAGGGTGGGGTGGGTGGAGGATGGGCAGTGTCCCAGATTTCCTAAGTGTTGTCCCGGTTTTCCAGGATTTCCATATTGTCAGCCTACTTCAAAGTCCCTACCTTCTGGTGTGTGGCTCTTTATCATGTAAGTGTGACCTTCATTCTATTTCTAAATGTAAGATCTTGCACCTGACTGTATTAAAAGGTTGTTTGCTTTCAGCTTACCTAGTGATCCAGATCACTCAGCCACATGGCCTCATAGTTATTTACCAGCACTCCACTTTGTGTGCTATCTTCAGTGGCTGCAACAGGATCGTTTTACATTTTCTTCCAGTTTATTGATAAAAATAGTGACTAACGCTAAACTAAGAACTGATCTCAGCAGGGCAGCAATAAAAAGACACCCAGCCATTTAGGATACCACACTAACAATTTCATTCTGGGGTATCTCACTTTAGCCCACTTAAATTATGTTACATATTGATTTTATGTAGTACTATCTTTTTTTTTAAAATCAAAATGTGCCTTATTTCCTCAAAACTCTTACAGAAACCTACAGAGCAAGTAGATGTAATTTGGAGTGGATGATTCCTCAGAGTTATGATTAATTTGATAATTAGGCTTGTCAAAATGTAATTACAGCACAATTTGTAATATATAAAATTAATTGACAATGTGTGAAATTAATTATAGTAGTAATAATGGGACACACCAATATGCTTTTATTAATAGTATTAGTTAATAATATAAAATATATAGATAATATTCATTAACTGCAATAAAATCATTAATTAACTGGCCATATTCCCCTGACCATATTTGCTAATATAAATAAAACATTAGACAAGTCTAGGGGGAGGCTCTTTTCAAGATAATTTATTACACCTCTAGCAAGGCTAGGAGCTTGGGAGAAAGAAGAAAAAAACAAGGATGCCCCCTTCCAAAGTGACCAGAAATCCATAGTAGTTCTGTGACTAGACTACTGGTAACAGCGGAGCTTCGAGACCATGGTGCTTGCACTTCTCACAAGCCTGTGCAAATGCATTTTAAAAGAAGCAAGATTGTTGCAGCTGCTGATGTACTGATGCACAGTGACAGGCTGACTTGGTGGATATATGCAGCAGGTCCCCAGCACGAAAATGGGTTTACCAGTGACAGATGCACATTCGTAAAAATGCCTGGGCCTTTAGCTTGAAAAGCAAGGTGGGTGGTTAAGTACCCACAGCCTTTTAAATGTATTTTTAATGAGGGGCAAGTATCCCAAAATGTGCAAGTAAAATATATTTTTTAACAAGTCTGTAAGAAATTTATTTAAATGATGTTATACTGTTATGGCACCATGAACAAAGTCACTGCTGGGCTTGTGGAATGATTTAATAGACCTTGGAAATCTCAGATATGGATATATTTTAGGACCAACAACGCTTTCTGCCACATTGATGCGTTACCCAGGTTTATAAAGGGTAACAATCTACAATATTATGCAAGTATTGGTGGCAGACATATTGCTGTTTTCACTGTGATGAAAGCTACTTCTGGGGGGGAGTTTTTGATCTACTTCAAGAAAAG